ACATTTCCATTTTTGGAGAGGATATAGGATCTACACAGCCAATAAAAAGTTCAGCGACTAAGTGACTTGCACTATATTTTAATGAAGTGTAATCATACATCAGACACAGGACTTCCTGTAGCTAATTCTTGATTATTGTTAAAGAACCTTCAGGTATATTATCTAATTTAATGTTTGCAAATCCATGTTATGTGATGATTATTGAGAAGGAATTGGTGAATTTGAATTTTATTTACTCTATAGTTTAAAAATCTACAAAATAATTGGTTAATTTTACTGCTTTGTTGATTTCGTCAAATTACTCAAAGTGTAGTAGAAATCCCATTTCGTCACATTTATTTTGGTCATGTGACGAAAAGGAGATACTTCCGTCACCCAACCTTGATATACACTTGATAATTCTGACATTTATTATATTATCAAGTGCTTTAAAGAGTAGTGACTTATCAAGTTCACCTGTATGTTGCCAATTATTTTTATTAATTGATACTTTTACAAAGTATTTGTCAAATATTTATGATGATGAATAATCAACTCAAATTTTCTTAGTAGGTAGTGACAGTCTGGCCATATGCGCTGAGTAGTACGGTATGATCATAACGTCGTGAATACTTTATACTAGCAAAAACGCATTGGTTTTGAGGTGGTACCATTGGTTTGACGGGCTGGTGAATAGTAGAATAGTTTTTTAGCGGAGCAAATAAATTTTTGGGGTTAATTATCATTCTACTGACCAGTTTACACATCAAAAATACTCTCATGTTTAACATCGAGACGCAATAAGATATAAGGTTTCAAGCCCATAAAGTTCATGAAACTCATGCATTTTATCAATGATTCAGTAGTAAATTTCAATTGAAATCTTTTGCCTTCAAACTAATTTTCATTTGAATACCAATATTAAGTCATTTTATCTGAATATTTCTGTTATAAGCAGACAGTAAATAATTTTCCGAGTTTTAATAATAACATATTTTTTAATTTACGTCAGTACAGGACTTTGTCTCCGAGAATTTTTCAAATTCAACACTTGAAGCTTTCATGAAACACGCACACAGACACGCTTTACTAACAAATGTGCCAAATTTATCAAAATACGCATTCAATTTGCTATATTGTGTTGACATCTTTAAAGGAAGCCATATCAAAATTGTTCTCGGTGATAAGAAGTACGAGCCACCGATATATAGAAAAGAATAATAATATACAAATCTTCATTTATATAGACATTGAATTCACGAAACAACCGACAGTAGAAAGAACTATCCTGAATGCTAAATTCCTATATGCTAATTTTCTTTCTCAAACTTAATATTATACTATTTAGTAATTTTCCCACAGAAAACAGTATATTTTGTTTTGGCCTAATACTAATTAGAGTTTGCATTTTTGATGATTGTCAAAAAAAAAATAAATTTTCAAAATTTACTGTATATACTTGACTTTTAATGCTAATTACCAATATGACAAAAAAAAACAATAAACGAAAGCTTGAAGAAGTTGAGGCTGAAGAGGATCTGATCAAAGAGGTTAAAAGACAACGTGAAATATGGTATTTATTTATTTTATTTTATTGTAATTGTAATTGTGATTGTTTAAATGTGTCATTTACATTAAAAAAACAAACACAGTGAACTTGTAAATCGTCGACCAAAGAAAACACCAAAGAATGGACGAAACTTTATTATCGAATCTTCAGAAAAATCAATTCCACAAAAAAATATAACAAAGTAAATTAAAAAAAGTTTCATTTCATTCATTAATTAAATTTATTTATTTATAAACGTCCTAATTAATTGATCATTATAGACTTGGTAAATATATAGCAATTGATTGTGAAGCAGTAGGTATTGGCCCTGATGGAACAGAATCAGCACTTGCCAGAGTCACAATTGTTAATTTTCATGGAGTGGTAGTATTGGATAAATATGTAAAACCTTTGGATTATGTGACAAATTTCAGAACAGAAATCAGTGGAATAACTAGAAAAATGCTCATAAATGGTATAATATATATATATCTTAATTATTGTTAATAGCTAGTGGGTCAATGATATGGCGAGATTTTATTAATTATTATTTTATGTTTATGTTTATGTAAAGCTAATAAATTTAAAGATGTACAAAAAGAAGTCTCGGATATAATCAAAGATAGAATTATTATTGGACATGCCATTCACAATGATCTAAAGGTAAAAGATAGATAGTAAATAAATGTTTAGTGTACATACATACTCCTCACTCTTACTCAAATTCTCGAATCCTACATGTGTGCACAGTTATTGCTATTAGATCACCCAAGCAGCATGATACGAGACACTTCCAAATATAAACCATTTCGTAAACATTCCAATGGTAAAACACCTTCTTTAAAAAAATTGGCCGAAACAGAATTAAACATAACAATCCAAGAAGGAAAACATTGCTCCGTGTGTATATTATTATATGGATATTATGTTTATATAATTAATTATTGGAAAACTAACGCCCTCTCCACATTCTCTATTTATAGATCCAAGATGCTCAAACTTGTATGCTTTTGTTTCATAAACATAAGAATGATTGGGAACAATTGGCACTGAAAAGAAATTATAAAATAAATAAAAATAGCTTTAAAAAAAACAATAATAATAATAATAATAATAAATAAATCATTTTTTATTATTACGAAATACTATTTACAAATATGAAAAATTAACAAATAATAATTAACAGAACATTCAATCAACATAAATTAAATTTTAATGATGACTCTTTCAAATTTTGGTTTACTTAATTAAATTGTATATATAATTATAGAGTATAGCCTTTTATTAAAAAAAAACTGTTACCTCTAGGATTTCGAAAATCAATATCATATGGAGGCTCTAAAAAAACCAATCTTTAATATATAATATATGACTCTATTTTCGTCGTTACTATCTCCTTTCTTCATAGTAATAGTAAATAAAATAATTACCGGATTGGAATTTGTTTTCAAGATAATTGCCTGCTTACAAGAAATGGTGCCAGAGGTCTGATTTTTGGTGTAGGCCAGCCACGAGCCTCAAAAAATGCCATATCTAATAATAATCGGTTTTTTTTAATTGACGTTACCGATTATGATGTTGGTTGATTTTTTTGGTTGAATGAGCGAAAGCCGCAGTATATAAATTCTCGCCAATAAAATTTATATTTTGAAATACTGTTCGTGCAATTTGATTAATTTTATCTTCAAAATTCGTAAAAAATACAATAGCAATAATAATAATAATAATTCTAATCAAAGTAGAATTTCAAATAAGGCTTTTATACATAATGTTTCCAGGATCGAGTATGCTTGAAAATCAATTCACTACAAAACGTATTAGATTAGATTCAAAAGAGAAAAAAGAGCAACAGAATGGTTCAAGTTCCAAATTTCCAATTCCTTACGAAACAAATGATGATTCAGTAGAAACTGATGAAAAATTAATACCAATTAATTATAATTCTGCTAAACATGGAAAGGATTTTGTTTTTCCTTCACACTCTGACTTCCTAGATAACCCTGGTTATTCTCGACAATACATAAATAACAGTAATACAAAGACACCGATTAAAAAATTGGTTATTAAACCACTTAAAGGTAATTTTGTGATTAATTTATTTATTTATAAAAAATGGATCCATCCATATATCCTATTCAATAATTAGAATTATTGACACATTAAATTTTTTTTTCATTAATAAATAAACATATAGTAAAACCATCATTACCTTCAGATTTTGAGGAAAAAACATGGGCAAAACTTGCAAGTGCGATTCAAGCAATTTATAGTTCTAAATCAGTGAATGATAGTCTTGAAGAGCTTTATAAAGCATGTGAAAATCTTTGTTTGCACAAATTATCTAAATCTCTTTATCAAAAATTGCACAGCGAACTTGAAAAACATATTTTGTTAGAGGGTGAACAAATTCAAAAGTATGCTTTTGTTTGTGCGATGATGATGTTGTCAATATATTGTAGTAGTGGTATTATTGATCTAAAAAAATTTTTTGTAGTAATCAAATAAACGAAATAAGTTTCCTCAGATCAGTTGATAAAAGTTGGAAAGAACATTGTAAACATATGGTAATGATTTTTATCGTTATTTTGAGATTTCTAAAAATATTACTTTAATAGAAATCTAATAACATGTATATTATAGGTGTTAATTAGGAGTATCTTTTTATATCTCGATCGTACATACGTACTTCAAACTGGTGGAATTTTATCAATATGGTATTATTTTTTTATACAATATACATAAATATGCATGCAAATATACAAATATACTGATATACAAATATATATGAATTTTCTTGTAATTAATAATTTTAGGGATTTAGGCTTGGAATTATTTAGAAAACATATTATGATAGCATCTAACATACGTGCTAAAACTCTGAGTGGAATATTGTCATTGATCAAACAAGAAAGGTAACAATATTTTTGTCTTTTCCTTGTGTATTTTATTTATATATATATATTAATTTCAACTTTTATATACACTCTCTCTCTTGTATGTATATGTATAGAGATGGAGATGCAGTTGATTACGCACTGATCAAGTCACTTATTAGGATGTTCATTGATCTCAACATTTACTATCATGGATTTGAAATTCCATTTTTGGAAGAAACCCGCAGCTATTTTATGATTGAGGGTCAACGTCTGGTCAGTGAATTTTCTGTACCACAATACTTGAGTCATGTCTCAAATCGATTATCAATTGAGAGTGCAAGAGCTGCCGAATATTTAGATAAGAAAACAATGGATCCCCTATTAAAAGCTATTGATGAAGAACTAATAATGAAACATGTTGATACTATATTAGATAAAGGTTGTTTATTGATTTATTTCTTTTTTAGAAGAAATAGTTTATTTTTTTTTTTTGGCAAGGGATAAATATTAATTTTTTTTTTTTGATTTAAATGCAATGTATCTATTTATAGGATTCATTAATATGGTTGATAATAACGATATTTGTTTTCATATCGAAGAATTGAAATCCTTGTATAATCTTTTTTTAAGAGTCAATGCTCTAGATCAAATACGGTCACATTTTGGTTCTTACATCAAGGTAAAAATTGGTATTCGATGACCAGATTTTTGATTTTTACCATGACTTCCAATTCTCACAAACTTTTAAATTTTAAATAGAAAACTGGTACACAAATAGTTACTGATACTAATAATGAATCAGACATGGTATCAGAATTGTTAACATTGAAATCAAGGATGGACTCGATTGTTAATGGCCCATTCCAAAGTAATTACAACTTTGTTTATACTGTAAAAGAAAGTTTTGAAATGTTTATTAATCAACGACAAAATAAACCCGCTGAACTAATTGGTAAGTGGTTATTGGATTATTTATTGTTTTTTTTTTTTTTTGGTTAATTCACAACTAAAATTAATTAATTGATTAATTGGTAGCTAAATATGTGGATCAGAAATTACGTCAAGGAAATAAGAGTATGAATGATACCGAAATGGAACATATGTTGAATGAAGTGTTAGTTTTATTTCGATATATACAAGGTAAAAATCCTTATATATATATGTATCTTCAAAATAAATGCGAGTATTTAATATTCCTAATTTTTTTCATTGTTTTAGGTAAAGATATATTCGAAGCCTTTTATAAACGTGATCTTGCCAAAAGACTTTTGCTAAACAAAAGTGCATCGTTTGATTATGAAAAAAGCATGCTGACTAAACTAAGAAAAGGTTGGTTTTGTCTCTCTACACAAATATGTATATATGTGAAATTTTATGTACATGTTAATTGAGCTTAATCAATTATATATAGAATGTGGACCTGGGTTTACCGGTAAACTTGAAGGAATGTTTAAGGACATAGATTTATCTCGCGATTTCATGCGCTCTTTTCAAGTAAATATAATAATTATTATTTGAACTTTTTTTTTTTATTATAAACAATCGCTGTCACATACATATTCTCACCGTATATATGTATAAATATATATAAATAAATATTAGGATTCAAAAGCATCCGAAGAAATGAAAAGATATAAAATTGATTTTTCTGTTAATATCCTAACACAAGGGTTTTGGCCTACTTATGCGCCTAATCCATGTAATTTACCACCATATGTAAGTTTTCGCTTACTCTAGTAATTTTTTTTTTTTTTTTTTGAACAACAATATATTTACATATAAATACGCATATGCATATTTACATATAGATGACACAATGTCAAGAAATTTTCAAGGATTTTTATTTGAGTAAACATAGTGGTAGAAATTTAAAATGGCAAAATTCTTTAGGGCATTGTATACTATCTGCAAATTTTCCACTAGTATGTTGCAGTGAATTCTATTTGGGATTTCTAAATCAATAAATAGATCTATTAGTTACTCAACTAATGTCCATATATATATATATATATATATTCATATATAGGCAAATAAAGAATTGGTGGTAAGTTTATATCAAGCAGTGACATTATTACTTTTTAATAGTTATGAAGATATATCACAACGAGTAACCTACGAAGAAATAAAAGAAATCACAGGATTGGGTTAGTAATAAAAATTTTCAATTCCTGGGATAGCATTACGTCTTTCTTTGGCGTACCTTTTTATTGATTAGTAATAAGCCTCATGCAAAAATTAAAGAAAATTATTTTCATCAATCAATTAATTATTATTGTTGTCGTTTATTATTATAATAGATCATAAAGATCTTACACTTACACTTCAATCGTTAGCATGTGGTAAAACACGAGTTCTTACCAAATTTCCAAAAGGAAGAGATGTCAATAAAACGGATAAATTTGCTATTAATGAAAAATTTGATGTTCAATATTATCGTGTCAAGATTAATTCGATTCAATTAAAAGAGACGGTTCGTTTATCAATTAATTTGTTCATTTATCCATTTTCTGATTCACACACACACACACACACACATATTGATAATTGTGATTTTTTACCCTCCAATTATTAAATGAATTTATAGCTAGAAGAAAATAATGACACAACAGAACGTGTATTTCTTGATCGTCAATATCAAGTTGATGCTGCATTAGTTCGTATAATGAAAATGAGAAAATCATTAACTCACAATGAAATTGTTACTGAATTATTAGGACAATTGAAATTTAAGGCCATGGTAAATAATCATTATATAATAATAACGATAATTTATACTGCTTGTATCTAATTGTATTAATTAATACATATCCATGTGTAGGTTTCTGATATTAAGAAAAGAATTGAATCGTTAATTGATCGTGATTATTTAGAAAGAGATCCTGATGACTCATCGGTAATCAGATACTTGGCTTAGTATTTACAATAATGAATAACCAATATTAGCATCAATTATTGCCACCGTTGCTAATAATAATAATAATAATAATAATAATAATAATAATAATATTTGATTTTGTATATTTATATAACAATAGCAATTAGTTAGCAATAATGATATATATAATTTTTTTTTGTATTTATTTTTTTTCTCTTTAAAAAAATTAAAAAAATTAAAATTTATTGAATATGAATAAATCAAAATCATATATACACATTTTATAAATAAATACATAAATACATACATATATTATATATTAAAAAATAAAACAAAGTATGATTTATTGCATAACAATAATAAACGTAGTAAATATAATATCGATTATATAATATAATAATAAAATTAAAAAAATAAAAATAAAAATTATATAATTAAATAAAAAAAAATTCACAATAAAATAATATGCAATATATACAAAAGAAATTATATATATAAATATATTTTAGAAAATTTTTTATGCCCTAAATAAAAGAAACAAAGAATATGTTTATATATATATATATATCTTATATATTCAATTTACTACCAAATTTAAAGGGTTTCATTATCATTCATTAATTTAATATGTTTTACTACGTTAAAATGAATTAATCCAATACGAAAAAAAATAAAATAAAAATAAAAGTCTACATTGATCACCACATAAAAAAGCTTTTTTTATTGTTGTATAAATAATCCCATAAATTAAAACAAATATCTTTATAATTCCAATTCAGTCCAACCTAATCCAATCACGCTTGCATTTTCGTCATTTAATTTATGATCTTGTTTCTGTAGTAATATCTTTTGGTTTCTTTTTCTTTGTTTTATTGTTGGGTGATAATTTATGTAAATTGTCATTATTATTATTTAGATCTCTATTATTGCCAACTATTATTGTAGGTCTAACAGCCTCATCTCCTTCTACTTTTATATGAGATCTTTTTCTTGCTGCTAGATCATCGCCATATTCTTCTCCGTCATCAATATTTGTAAAGTTGATCTTGTCTTTCTTGGATTTTTTGATATGATTTTTAAACTTATCATCGCCGTCATCCATCCCTTCTTTACGTTTTTTCGACGTGCCGCTACCACCACTATTATTTTGAGATTTTGAACTTTTTGATATAGTATTTTCAAGGGTGTTTGATTTTCGGTTTAATTTATTTGTTGTTTTTGTTGAAAGTTCATCTTCTTCATCAACTGTCTCATCAGATTCTCCATCATCGTCATTCTCATCCTCGTCCTCCTCATCATCATTATGATTTTCGTCACCGCTATCTGATTCTTGCCCATTTTCTTCCTCTATTTCATCCACTTCATCTTCATCATCATCATCTGTATAATCTTGTAAATCATTCCTAGATTTTTTTCCTAAACTTTTGGAACTAGAAGCGGTTTCTTTATTGTCATCGGTAGTCTCAATCATATTTGATGATGAATTATCCTTATTTTCCATATAAGTTTTATATTCAATTTCATAATTATGCCTTGCCTGTTGAAGTTTGGTTTCATATATCTGATATTAATTAATAATGATAATAATAATATTGTTATTATTTAAGTTTAATTTTACGTTGATTTTTATAATAGATAGATGAATATGAAAATATGCATGCATGCATGCATGTATGCATGATTATTATTAACACCCATTACTAACCTTTTTGTCATCGTTTGAAAGACTTTGCCATCGTTGACTAATAATGCGTAAAATATCGTTCCATTTAGTGTCGGGGAATTCTTTACGTATTTCATCTTGGACATCTTTTTGGTAAAGGAGAAACGCGCTAACAGGTTTTTTTGGTGCATTCGGATCAACAGGTTTTTTTATTCTGTTACGTTTTTTCTTGGTTCCATTTTCAGTATCGGCGCTGGAATTGGCTTTGCTTCTACTGCTGCTACTATTGCTAACGGCATTGCTTTTACTGCTATTATGTTTTGATGATGATGCAGCTATTGGTTTAGTTAGTTCTTCAATTTCCAAAAGCGCATCATTTTCCAAAGTATTTACATTTGATTTATTTTTATTTTTACCACTTCTTATTGTAGATGAAAATTTATTATTAACTGCGGACCTTTTAGAATCATGCTTCATAAAAGATTTCAACAAAGGATCATTTTCAATAAGCGAATTAAAATATTCCAACACGAAATCTTTGGTATCGTTTTGTTGTTGATTCTTATCTTTCCTTGATCCTTTACTGCTACTGTTACTACTATTATTAAGATTAGCATTAATATTTTCATAATTTTTGAAAATCACATCATTTTCAACAAGGGTCTCGACATATCGAAGTAAAAAACTTCTTAGATCCCCCGAGTTAAACTCTCTAAGTAAATTTAAATCACGTTGCTCTCCAATTTCATTCTCCAAAGAACTATTATTGGTTGTTAATGTGCGAGCAGCCGTTAATAAACAAGTGGCAGCTCCTTGTAAACCAACCGCCTAAAAAAAAAGATAAAAAAGTATAATTAGTTTTATATTTAATGTTTATTATTATTATTATCACTATTATTATTATTATTATTAAGGTCACTTACTAAATTTTTTACTTGTTGCTCATTAAGTGTAAGGGACATTCTAAATTTATACTTTTATATATATATTTTTTTTTTTTTATACTTGTATCTAAAATACCTTTTTTAAATTGTTATTTAAAATGAAGGATAATGATTTGTTGAAGAATGATCAATATACTTTATGAAACAGCTTTTTATGAAACAGAATCAACAAATGTTTTGCTTTTATCACTAAATTAAATACTGATGGTTATTTTTGTTATTAATATAATCCACAATGATTAGTCCAAATTTTTTTTTAAAAAAAAACAACAAAAAAAAAAGTAGGACACGACTTTTTTTTCCCAAAAAATTTATTATTTATAATTGTTGTTTGTTGTTGGTTGTGCGGTGTTTGTGTGAAGTATATATATTTATGTGTGGATGGATGATGGGACGATGAATAAAAAAATATATTGAAGAAAAAAAAATAATAATTTTATGCTTATGATCTACATAAATCTAGCTAAATATATTATATAATTGTATTACAAATATGTCATTTAAACAACTTTGCCTCAAATCAACAACTCACATGGTTTGTGCCCAACAATCAGGTTCTTCGAATTTTCCGGAAAAAATACTTTGAAAGGAAATCGCCGAATTTGTAATGCCGGCAAGAAATCATCCAGATATATATGCTAATTAATCTCAAATCCACCATAGAGCCCAAGAATCACAGCATAATTAGGAATATTTTAAAAACAGAACAAGGTGAAAAAATTACCCTTTATGTTTTCAACATAGGTGCTCAAAGAATATTTGAAGGATTATTCATAAATTTACAAAAAAAAAAGAAAATAATAAACACTAGGAAAAGGAAGGCAGAATGAAAGCGAACAATTACCTAATAAAAAATTGGAAATCTTTGGAAGAAAAATAATACGGGCAAAGTCTTATGTTTGCATAAACCTTTTTTAAGTAGTATCAATAAATGACGATACTTATAATACCAAGTACTGAAAGTTATACCTGCTGATCGTAGCCAAATAAACTTACCATCAACTTTCTTTTCTCTTTGTATATGTGTGTTCTGAGGCATAGTTCATATATTTTGCTACTATCTTTTCATAATCTTCATCTTTTAAATTACTGACTGAAGTTTTGCATTAGATCCTTGGACATGCTGATTACGTTTATATATAATGTATGTAAAATATTATACATATCATGTTAACTACCCAAGAGAAAAATGACATGCTTGAAAATAAAAGGATTTAGCCAATGTTGGAAATATTTATGTGAAAAGTTTTATAATGAAGGAGACAAAATTATTCTGTAAAAGTAAAATCAGATCGAATATTTAGAGGAAGTTTGGAAAACTATTGAATTAGGAGGAATGGAAAAATCCTCAAAAAGCACATAGGATTGTTTATCTAGGGAATTATTTGATACAGAGAATAAACTGGATGAAATTGAAAGAAAAAAAAAAGCTAGAGGCCCAAATTGCTGAATTAGTTTAGATAAGAGCAAAGTAGAAGAAAAGAGAAATGAAAGAGAAAATTCTCGAGATTTTACCCAGAATGATGAGAAAACGAAAAATAATAAGTTTGGAAACTAATTCAATCATTAAAGGAATTAAATTACGAATCAATCCAAGTTAAGGGCAAAGTTCTTAATGACTTGCGAGAAACAAAGAAAAAAGAGAAAAAAGAGAAACAACATGCCCAAACATAAGACAAGGACAAAAAATAGACTGTTTAAACACAGAAAACAAGCAATACAAAAAAAGCAATAAGTATTTATTGAATTTATGTCCAAGAAATAATAATCAAGAAGTCGGAAAGAAAAATCCAAGTATTACAGGAAATCAAGAACAAAAAGAAAAAATTCCTCCGCGAAAATATCAAGAAAACACAAAAGAGTTGGAAATTAACAAATCAAGCAGAAATCGGCACAAGTTCGGCAAGCAGAGAAGCAATTAAATAAAAATCCAGTTAACCAAAATCCTAATTAATTCCAAATTTCTCTTTTTTTCTTTTAGTAATAATTATTGAACCAATAAAATAAGGAATTGATTCATTGTAAATTTTAATTACTGAATAAAAATATCATTTATTAACATTATATGTTGGTTTGGAGAAGTAATATCTTTAAATTATTATAAAGGTATCTTGATGCTTAATATCCGTTAGGAATGGTGTCGATATCGGGAATGATAGGATTTTTTTATAATTATATAATGCTCAAATACTCCATGGAATATAATCTCCATATATTTGTGTCATAAATGCTCAAATAGTCCATGGAATATAATCTCCATATATTTGTGTCATAAATGCTCAAATAGTCCATGGAATATAGTCTCCGTATATTTGTGTCATAAATGATCTAAATATTGATACTCTTTAACTTCTCGAGTAACCACGTCGATCATTGTTATAAGGTTTGCAGCCTTTTACCATACAGAACTTGTATTTGAACTATATCCTATTCCATCAACGCCATTACTTTTGACTGGTAATTAATTGACTTGGGGCATGCCGATTATTTTATTGCAATAAAGGCAAAACAATATTCGCGGTTACCGAAAAATCTTGGCAAGTCTTTTTAAACCAATGGATGAGTCTATGAATGTATGAAATCTTCTTTTAGCATATCTTGCCTCTTCAAATGATTGTTTGACTGCCTCAAAACTAAATATTCATGAGACTAGAGCTTGTATCCGTCACTCGAATCCGATGATATCTGAAGATAATAATATAATAATAATATTATTATTATTTTTGCGTCACAAAATTTTCTATAAATTTATTACGATTAAGCAAATAAATTAATTGCAATGTAATAATAATAATAATAATTCCATGTTGTACTTTTATCATTTGGGTTTAAGTTCTGATGTCTCTTATTAAAATTAAAATTAATATCAGCTCAACATATGACAGCATATTCTATACAAAAAAAATATATGCAATTTGCATGTGAATTATGTGCTTTGCCCCTACAATTTATGTAGAATATATGTAACTGTTTTCCAGATGAATGTATTTTGCTTACGTTATTATTATTAGTATTAATAGTTTTGGCATATTAACATTGAAGCTTGAATGAGATTTTCTTATGTTTGTCCCATGCATTACATATTAAACTTTAAGATACCACCAATTTTGAAAGGGGAAAATACACTTCTTATAAGGAAAAACTATTTGCAAAAGACATTAAATCTAAGATATTGAGCTTGGCTGTCATTCAAATTCAATAGAATAGAGCTAACCTTCTCACTTCTATCCAGGATCCTGGTAGAATTCCGTGACATAATCGAGGCTTCAATAGGTCTTTCAGAAAAATCCCAATATGTAATTTCAAGGTATTTTCACCTTGAATTTTCATCATATCATAGCTGATAAGTTTTGGGGTCGATTAAACCTTTCTTGTGGAAAAGGAAATTTAGAACAAATTATAAAATTTTATGAATCTTTATCCTTTTCTAGTTTAAAAACTTGCTATTTGTGAGCTTGGTGATGTTGTAACTTTTCTAAAATAAATATATTAATAATAATTGTCTTATTAATTGACTCATCCCAAGGTCAACCTTTATATGTTCCTTGGACTTTTCATTCTTTACCTTTTTCTAAATTCATTCAGCAAAATTATCGGATTTTTAAAGCCATTTTTCATGATTGTTCATACTACCAAACTAGGTTTGTTCTGAGGATTAGCCAGTCCAACGCAAGGAACTAACTCCAAAGGTCGTCCAGTAGCAATTTTTAAAGTTTGGACGAAAGTAGTAGTTTTTCCTACTCCTGGTAATTAACGATAGTTCACCAGTAAAGACATTTGTTTTACAATAATAATATAACAATTGTCTATTTGCTTATTATAGATCCTTTTAAATTTGCTATGAATGAATTTAATAGTATTAATATTTAGTAATAATAGTAATTCACAACAAATTCACAGAACCAATGAAATATATACAAAAAATCTGTTTTAAATAAATTCGTATATAATATGAAATTTATAACTGTCAAAGTAATTTAGTAAAGAGTGAAGTAACTTGGAAATTTGCTATTTTCATTGCATGTAATTTATTAAAATAACAAACCATTTCGTAGCAGTTACCAATAAGTAATTGCAGGACATCAATAGAAAACTCGGATTCTATTTAATATACCACAAAGTAATTCGAAAAAATGGAGTTAATTCAAGAATTCGAAAAAAACACAGTGAACCAATGCTAGAGTAGATGCTACTACGACATTTATATATAATATTTATGCTTTAAAAAATAATTTATAGGTCTAAATAGTCAATGGCGAGGGTGATGACGATAATAAGTTTTAACATTAAATCATCAGACAAAAGAGTTACGTTGAACATCAAGGTACAAAGTTTACCACAAACTCTTCCCTGCTTTTCGTTCGACGCATCTGATGTCAACTTGTTGTTTGCCGTGAGGGATTAGCAGATGTTACAGTCTCAAATTTTCATTCAATTCTATTTCATTAATTCTTCTTATACTTTAGCAAAAAAGAAAGAATTTGAAAAGCATACAAGTATTTACTAACATTCTAATCTATATTTTGTACTCTAATTAATTTATCGAACGTAGAGATATTATAAAGCCACTGATATTACTACTGTTACTACTATAATTGAGAATCATTAGGTGACGTTATGTTCACTTTGCCTAATTTTGTTTCATAAAACAAGTAAACAAATTGTAACAATTGTGTATTTGACCAATTTTACTTATAATAAAATCCTACTAATTCTGAAGATGGTGATAATTATAGCTTTAAAATTAATGTTATGATTGTGTTATTAGCGTTAGTAGTTTTATCAATCATTATTCCTCTACCTCTACTATCACTTTTCAAGTTTTTCCGTTCTTATATGATGCTAAAGTTGACGTTGAAGATGTGGATGTGGATTTAGAAGCAAGTAGCATTACTAGTCGTAGGAGTAATAATATTAGTCACTGCCTCTACATTTCTTAATAACTTTATTATTATTATTAATTATGATTTTATCAACACTATCACCATTATTTTAGACCGATTCATCTGCTGCTTTCTTCTCTCCTCTTTTTCATACCATTTACTAAGAATCCCGGCTACAACTTTTTATGATGGTTGCAACCAGTTTTTTAGCAGATCTTGATTTAGTGGATTTAAAAAATACCTGATAGATCAAGTACATATTATTATTATCATTAATATGAAAATCCGTCAAATCCAGATAAAATAAATATAATAATAGTAATAGTAATTGACAGATTGGGTCTTGAAATTTTTATCCTAAATCCGCGAAATCATGACGAAATTTTATATTTTATATTTAAATATTTTAGAATTGTTAAAGTGATGCATGAAAAGAACGCAAACACAAATCACCTTTAATCAATAATCGTATATTGAAATCCTTTTTTTTTTTTCACATAAATTATGTGCATATCAGCTATTACTATTTTGGTTAAAATTTTTTCATTTATGATTGTAGATCGTTTTTTGCTGGATCATCAATTAACACTGATTTTAAAAATTTTTCCAACAAATGATTATTAACAACTCTCATAGATGTTTTCGAATTCTTTTCAATCAATATGCAAAGAAAAGATATTCCTTCAAAGTATCAAATTTTATAAGAAATTCATCATCGATAACCTCACCGTTAAATAATAACGTTCATGAATTCAAAAATACAATCGTTCTTGATCCACCTTCCTTTGTTCAAAATGAACCTGGAAAACTTTTACCAAGCGCCTTTTCCGAAAATCTTTCTCTTCTATATGCATGTTTAAAGACTGGTGATATAGAGCGAGCAGAAAGAATACTAAATATACTACACAATTCTGGACCAAGGGAAATGAAGCATTACCTGGACATAAGTGTTCATAATACATTTATCGAAGAATTCATAGAATCAACTCCTACTCCAAGATTAAATCAAGCTTTAATATGGTTTGATCGATTGGAACGTTACGATGTAAAACCAGATTTAAAAACTTTTGCTATATTAGTTAAAGGTTACTTAAAGTAATTATATTACTATCATCATCATTGTCATCATCATCATTATTATCATCACCATCTCCATCATTACTATTATTATTTACTTACTTTTGATCTCAATAAATTTAAAAGGTTGGATTTGGATTTTGTTAGTTTCACAATGCTCAAAGTTTTAATTGATGAAATGGAACAGAATGGTCACACTTTTGAGCAATTAATGAATGCTCAATTATTGTCTGAAAAAGATATCATCAAAGTTTTGCAGGTCACTATAATATATATATATGTGATTTAAAATATTTTTAACACTATATTATTTTATATTAAAATAAATTTTCATAAAATTTTTATTTTAGTTATTAAAATCAGATCAAGATAGAATCAGTGAATCAAAGGTACTCATTGAAAAGGTCGAGGACGCGATTGATAAACAAGAAATTCCTCAAAAAATTGAAGATGATGTGGTAAAATCAACAAAATCAGATCCTGTAAGTATAGTGTTTTTGATTAACAATAGTGCAATTTTATTGTCAATTTCTTATATATATATATATATATATTAATTATTCGCATAATTATTCCAGCCAATTGGTGTAGAACTATTAAGAAATACTCTTTCCGCACTTCAACATGATAATTTAAATTTATATGAACAGCAAATGAAATTGGAAGAAAACGCAATTCAAGCTGCTATTGAACGTTGGAAACACGACACAGATGCACTTCTTAAACACGACGATAAATTACTATTAAAAAGAAACAGTCCACTGAAAAAAGTTATGTGGGAGTGGCATGAAAAATTGGAACCATTAATTAATGAAGAAATAAAAAGATGTAAAAATCCAAAGATTTTAGCTAAAGGTAAATAAGATTCTGCACGCGCGCACGCACACTAAAGCACAAACTTATCAAGTCTAATTAAAAAAACCTTTCCCTATTTTAAGATGTTGATCGCAAACTCTACGGTCCGTTTCTTCAATTATTAAGTGCTGATAAACTTTCAGCAATAACGATTTTAGAATTTGTACGTAATCAAAGTACTGGCGGTGTTATTCAAGGAATGAAAACTACTCGCCTGATAATATCAATTGGTAAATCAATCGAAAATGAATATAATGCTGAACAAATGAAAAAGAGGAAAAATAGAATGATGGTATTTTCATAAATTCTACTCATCATTCATCCGTCCGTCCGTCCATCCATCCATCCATCCATCCATCATCCATCCATCCACTCATTTAATAATTCTATTCAAAATCCATAGATTCAAAAAAAATTGAACGTTCATGAACTTTATTCATCTGGAAAACTGTTTAATATGGCAGTTCGTAAAGTTACGGCGAAAATTGAAAGAGAAAATTCTAATTCTGAGTGGCAACCTGAATGGCCGACACCTGTTAAAGCAAAGGTGAGATTATTTAGTTTTTAAAATATATATATATATATATATACATATTAATAAACAAAAATAAAAGTTGTTTAATAAAATTTGGTATCTTTGTAGATCGGCTCACTTCTGGCATCAATGTTACTAGATTGTGCAAAATTAAAAGTCTTTGCACCTGATGTTAAACTGTATATATAAAGAACTATTATTACATTCATTACATTACTCTACATTATATTACCATATTAATTTATTTTTTTTACCAACAGAGTTCAAGAAGTACCCGCTTTTTACCATACATATGAAATGCAAAAAGGAAAAATAATTGGAATAATTCAATACAACCCTCAACTTGTAAAATTCCTATCATCTAATTCTGTAGTTGAAACTTTAACGCCTCGTTTGTTACCTATGCTGGTTCATCCTATGCCATGGTTAAATTATAATAGTGGCGGTTATTTAATGTCACCAAGTAAGAATAGAATTACAATTAATTATTCAATTATCTTTGTAAACTATATATGTATATGTTGGTTATTTAATAATAAGTTTTCGGATTTCTTTTCACGCTCTCTATTTTTTTTTAATTGTAAAACTTTAGCTATTGCAATGCGAATTAAAGAATGTCCAGAACAATTAGCCTATTTAAAAAAGGCTTCAGATGAAGATTATCTTGGTCGTGTATTTGCAGGATTAGATGTACTTGGTTCAACCAAATGGGCTATTAATAAAAAAGTATATGAAGTAGTTTTAGAAGTTTGGAATAGTGGAAAAGCTATTGCTGATATTCCTCCGTCCAATTTAGATTTAACAACTCCAGAAAAGCCAGAAGATTTTCTTATAAATATAGCCACAAGAAAAAAATGGTATCGTGAATGTGAAGAAATCCAAAACAAGATTCGTAACAATCACTCTAAACGATGTGCCACCAATTATAAAATTGATATTGCCACTGCAGTAAGTTATTTATTAATTTTATTTGATTTGATCTTATTAAAAAGATATAATCTAAATTAACGCAGTGTGCATATTTATTTATTCATTCATTTATTTAACTATTTATTTATTTTATAGTTTTTGGATAGGCCAATGTATTTTCCACATAGCTTAGATTTTCGAGGTCGTGCATATCCAATACCAACACATTTAAATCATCTGGGTGATGATTTATGTCGTGGTTTATTGCTATTTGATGAAGCTAAACCGATAGGTAAATCTGGTCTTAAATGGTTAAAGATTCAGATAGCCAATTTAGCTGGACACGATAAAGCTTCATTTGATGAACGATTAAAATTCACGGAAGATAAACTAGAACTCATAATGGATTCAGCAGACAAACCCCTTACGGGGAAATGTTGGTGGCAAACAACAGAAGATCCTTGGCAGTGTCTATCAGCATGTATGGAATTAACGAATGCACTTCGAGCTAAAGATCCAGAAACTTATGTTTCAAGAATTCCCATTCATCAGGATGGGACATGTAATGGATTACAACATTATGCGGCTTTGGGTGGTGATTTAGAAGGTGCTAAACAAGTAAACTTGGATCCGTCTGATAAACCATGTGATATTTACACAGGAATTGCAGAAAAGGTTCAAAAGTTGATAAAGAAAGATATAGAAAATGGTAACAAAAATGCCACAATTTTAGATGGCAAGATAACACGTAAAGTTGTGAAACAAACTGTAATGACAAGTGTTTACGGTGTGACGTTTGTTGGAGCTCGATTACAAATAGAAAATCAGCTCAAAGAAATCAAAGAACTTTCCCGACTTCCTACCACAGAAATACGTGAATTATCAAAGTATGTCACTCATCACGTATTTAGTTGTTTAGGAGAAATGTTTCATAAAGCTAGATTAATTCAAAATTGGCTGAATGAAAGTGCCAAAAGAATATCTAAAAGTGTTCCACCAAATGTGGTGTTAAATACAGATGAAGAAACCAAACAAGAGATAAAGGAAGATCACAGATCAAAAATAAAAGTTGATGATTATAATAATAACAATGATGTTGTTGATGATGACGATTATGATGGCTATATTAGTAGCAGTGATAATAATAATAATGATAATGATAAACCAAAGGGAAGTATTGTCAAATTATCGCCCAGTAAGCCTGGAAAAGATCAAATGACAGCAGTTGTATGGACTACACCATTAGATTTGCCCATTGTACAACCATATAGAAAATTAGGAAGTAAAACAATTAAAACAAATCTTCAAAATATTAGTATTGAAGATCCTGATGTTGCTAGTCCAGTAAACAGTCTTAAACAACGTGCAGCATTTCCACCAAATTTCATCCATTCACTTGATGCAACACATATGTTAATGACATCGTTAGAATGTAAAGAACAACAACTGACATTTGCATCAGTACATGACAGTTATTGGACTCATGCTTGTGATGTCGAAAGGATGAATTTAATAATTCGTGATCAATTTATCAAGCTTCACGAACAACCTATTATGGAAAACCTTCGCAAAGAATTTATGGAAAGATATAAAGGCTATAAGGTGCCTGTTAAATTGCCTACAGATAAATATTATGAACTACTTCGTAAAAAAGTAGGAGAAATCCCTTCACCAGCTGATGATGGATACGAAACTATTTTAAATTTAGAAGATATCTTGGACATTACTGATAATTTTCAATTCGGAGAACCTACCGGACTTCTCAAAGAATTTGACAATAAAGAATTGGCTGAATTATCATCAGAAAATATTAAGGATGCATTTGCAGAAATATCTTATGACTTGGAAAACGATATTGACGATCCATCAAAGCATTTGGAAAGTGAAGAAACATCAGAGATTATAAATGACAAAAAACCAAAATCAAAATATGTTTATAAATGGTTTGATATAGCATTTCCATCCTTACCTGAAAAAGGAAATTTCGATGTTATTAAAGTGAAAGAAAGTAAATATTTCTTTGATTAACAGCTAAACTTTCGGTTCTCTATTTAATTATATATATATATATATATATATAAATTTAAAATAGATTCAATTCTTTATTTTTTTTATTTGTAAATTTTAATGTAAATTAAATTAATTTTTCTTTTTTTTTTTTTGAGTTTTATGAAAATTTTTAAAAAAATTTGTCCAAACATCATAAATCATCCTGTTTGTTAACATTGAGTACTTTAAGTATTTATTTTGTGGCTTTCCCATACCTCTTTCTTTTGAAAGCTATCAAAAAAGACATTGAAGAAGATATGTTCACGCCTGAAATAATAAAAAAGAAATTAATAATCATTATTATTTCTAAAACGTAGTCGGTATAATATGGAAATACCAGATGCTTATTAAGACAATATTTGACAGCTTTACAATCTATTCTCGAGATAATTTTAAAAAATTATTGGTTTTGAACTTTACTGCAGAGATTTAGAGGATCTTAATACTTTTAACACAAGACTTGATGAAATCGAACAAGTTCTTGGACGCTATCACAATAATTTTGGTAGAATCGCCACCGAATTTGAAATCAATTAACAATCCAAAATGAAATTGATCAACGTTCTGCAATTATCCAAAGAATTGAATCTGATTGACCAAGTGAAGCGAATCAATCCGAATCCTCTTCTTCCTCCGGTTCTTCTGGCGAGATAATAAAGCCAAAGTCATTCATTGATTATAATTAGTGGTGGGGTTGTAACCCAAGATATAAATTTGACCGACTTGATTTTTTTGATTACAGGCTCAGCCCGATTATCATTTACAGACACCACTTTAACCATCCGAATTCGCTTTAAACAAATCTTCGATAGGATTAGGACCAAAAGAAACTATACTTTTGATGAGATGTGCTATTCTGTAGCAATGCGTATTCGTGAACTTTGGAGGGAATATTAGGTAGGGAACGGTGAAAAAAGCTTTTATAATAGAGATGGTGATTGTAGGAGCAATACAGTAGATCAAATTGGCGCATGGATAAATAGTATGAAATAGTAAGACGGGACTCTCATTTTATGGGTCAGGGCTTGGGATGTTCCTCCTTTAAACATGATCTACTCCATTCATTCTATTACATTTGCTTTTTTAGTTTATCATAATCAACGAAAAAAAATTAATAAAGATTCTTGCCCAAAAATTCATAATGTCAACACGAAACATGCCAAACTCATTTTTTATTTTAGCATTTGACACAATCACAATATGAAAAACTAATTTGATTCTCGTTTTCCTTCCTGTCCTTCAAAGCAATACGAATGAAAAAAATGTATTTATCACCCATCGTTTTCACATTAAACCACACGATGAGAAAACGTTGATATTTTCCGGATAAATGAGAAGCAGTTGAGGTATTTGTTCAATATTGAGCGATCCTGAACAGCGTCGGTTTGTGAACGAGACAAGAATCACGTCATGCTCAGCTTTGTAGTTTTTCACTGATGATGCCATTGTTGCTTCATATCATTTTTTAATGGATGGTGTGGAAATAGTAGTTGATGCATTGCATTCTGAGAAAAAATACCGCTAATTTCTTTTCAACATCAGCAGAATCAAGAACTAACGGCGATTAATATTGGTACAGTCAAACCTCATAAGCCGAATCACTATAAACCGATTTTCGCTTTATAACGATGTAAAAGTGGTTAACCAAAAAACATAATTAATTATAATTGTAAAATCACCATAAGCCGAATTTTGATAAGTATTTGACTGTACAACCAAAGTTTACTTAAATCTAATCCAGCTGATCCCACATAAATTGGTTTTGTTAAGTAAAGCTTCTTCTTTTCCAAGATACACACCAAACAAGTTATCATTAAATACTTACAGTGTGGTTTGGCTGAATTCTTTATTACGGCACGTTCTGAGTACCAGTTATCTTTTAGTCGTATCAATATAATTTCATACATTTTCCATTGTCTTACCATATACAACGTTATTCATAATTTTAAAGGAGTCTTTTTCAAATCCGTTCCTCGAGAGTTTGGTTATACAGTACATCATATGGGCAAAAAATCACAAGACCACAGTTATTAAATATCATTATAATGTTCTAATTTCATATAACAAGTTACTATGCGAGTAATCCTGGATTTATACAGTGTCCATTATAGAAATAAATCGTATAGAAGGGGAGATTGATACAGAGAAAATCGATATGGTGATTGTCATGAAGGAGGAGAAAGTTGAACTGATTAGGACAGGTAATTATTTGGATTGAATATCAATTTCACATTCGGTAAAACGTAACATCATTTCTCTTGACGAAGTTATTATAATTTTTCAAGGCAGGCATAAATCAATGTGCGCACACATTATTAGTTGAAAAAAATTTTTTTTTTGCGAGAAGGAAAATTCAGATTACAACTTTATTTTCATTAATATGGATCGAAAACAAAAGTTGAAATTAAATATTTAATAACGAGCTATAAGACGGAGAAAAAAAATCTAGAAATAAATGCCATCTAAAAAAAATTTATTACCCCTATTTCTGCTACTACTAACCGTAACTTCATTAATATATTTATTTTTCATAATAAATAATGTTTATTCTTAAATTTCTCTCAAATTGAATTCCTAATTAACCTAATGCCCAATTTCTAAATTCTTCCATGGAACACACATTCATTAAGATTAGGGGCGCGGGTTCCTGATAATAATTCCTTAACTTGGGCTGGTGGTTGCAGTCCATGTTTGTTTGCTCTATCCCATCTTTGTAACCTTGTAATTCCAACACAAGGTCCAAATTTGTAATTCAGATCGAATGCGATAAGGAACTTATTTTCTTCGCTAAGATTGTCATAATGAAGAACTTTCACATAATGATAAATAATAATATTAATTATTAATCCTATTAGCATTATTAGTCAATAGTATTTCTCAACTCACCTAATTTTGGTCCAACAGAATAAGATGATGATGATCTAGCAATAGAAGAGCTAGTAGTAGCAACATCAACTTTTGCAGCAATATTATTATCAATTTCTTGATATGACGACGATAATAATTCTTCATCTTGACCTAATTCTGATTCAAAAAATTTATCATTATTATTATCGCTATTATTGTACTTAATATAACTATTATTAATAACATTTTTAGGATCATTATTGCTTTTTCTTAAAGTTACACGTTCTTCTTGTTGTTTTGGCTTCTCTTTATCATTATTATTGTTATCAGTAGTAACAGTGGTGTCATTAGTTGTGGTAGCATTATTATGTCTTGATTTCTTTTTTGGTCGAGTGCTGTTGTCTTCATTTTTTTTTGCGGACCAATAAGTAATTAGACCTTTTTGTTTTGGATCATTTTTCTTTGGTGACATTTTTATTATTTTGATTGATAAATCAATAAATAATTTTTTATAATAAAAGTTGGAAAAGAGGATCTTTGGATGTTTATTACCCCGTAAAAAATTAATATTAATAATAACAATAATATTAATTTCCGTAAATCAGTCCGAAGTTGATTGATCTACCAATATTTTTTTTATTAAAAAAAGAATATATATAATGCGAATAAGAAAAGAGTTAGGTATTGTCAAAAGTCCAATTAGTTTTATTTATTTTTTTTAATTTAGTATTATTTATTTACTAAATTGTATATAATTAATAATTATTAGAAAGATTTTGTGTAATTCCATTACTTAAAATTAATAAAATATCACTATTAAGAACAATATCAAATCGTAGTAATAACAGTATTATCAGTAATGGAAGAACATCTAATAAAAAACCTAATATTATTATTAATTCAATTAATGGTGGAGTATGTATTTTCTCTTTTCTTCTCTTCCCATATACTCTTTATTCTTTATTATCTCTGGTAATATATCTTACTCATATATTTATTTATATATCATAATGATATAAATCAGAATATAATTTATCCACCATCACTAAAGCTTATTACAAGATCTTATTCTTCTGCTACAAATAAATCATCTTTTGATAAGCGTAATATTTCCAGGGTAAGCTTTCAACTTTACAAATACAATATATTATTTACTTATATACACTCATATGCATATTTATTTAATAGCAATTCACGTGGCAAAGTTTTGCAGTATTCATTGCGACTGGAATTGGTTTATTTTTTTATTTCAAATCCGAGAAAGAAAAAATGGTACAAAAAAGTAAATATCATCATAAAAGTAATAATAACAATTATTATTATTGTTTTCTTTTTTTTTTTTAATCAGTCAATTTTTTCAAAACAAATCAGAGAATGAAGCAAAAGAAAATAGAAACATTGGTAGTCCTAAAATAGGTGGACCATTTGAATTATTAAATCAAGATGGAAAAGTTGTTACTGATAAAGATTTTCTGGGAAAATATATTTTGGTTTATTTTGGTTTCACTCATTGTCCTGACGTTTGTCCTGAAGAGTTAGATAAAATGACTGAAGTTACTGATGCCATTAGTAAGTTTTTTAAAACTGAACAAAGGTCTTTGGGTTTGTGAATTGTGTTGAATTAATAACTGGCTCCTTTTTTTTTTGTATAGGGAATGATCCAGAATTAAAAGGGAATGACATAACACCTATTTTCATATCATGTGATCCACATCGTGATACAGTTGAAGTTGTTCGGGAATACCTTAAAGGTAAAATCAATCGGTCAATGTTAATTAATCAACTAGTTAACTAGTTGAACAATCAGTTAATCAATCAATCAATCAATCAAACCAATCTCACTAATTTATTTCAAATAATAGATTTTCATAAAGACATGGTAGGCTTAACAGGATCATTTGAGAATATATCCAAGGTGGCAAAAGCATATCGAGTCTACTTTAGTAAACCGCCAAATGTTAAAGAAGGTGAACAATACCTAGTTGATCATTCGATATTTTTTTATTTGATGAATCCTAATGGTGAATTTGTTGATGCTTATGGTAAGAGTACGAGTGCTAAAGAGGTTTACAACAGTGTCAAAAATCATATTAAAGATTTTACAAATTCAAGTACACCTATTCCAAATGCTAAGTAAATAAACATATTTATTTATTAACAATTATTAATAATAGAACGCTTTTTGCCCGATATAAATATCTGGAAAATTTTGACAATTATTAGAAATCTTGCTTATTTTGTATGATTTATGTGAATTATTCAAACTCGTTAACCTTCTATTTTTACAACCCGTTTTTATAAAAATGTAATTTGCAATCTGCAATATGCCTGCTGATTGTAAATTGGAATTTGCTGACTGCAAATTGCAAAAAGGCTTGTCAACGAACTTTTCTAAACCAAATTTTTGAGAAGGATAAAATCAAAATTGTAGCGAGCAATTTTTTTTTTGTGTTGAATTTTTTTAAAAAACAACGACCTTGCATTTGCGAATATCCCATTTTTTATTTTATTCAAGTGATTGAAATGCATTCTCGTACATTATATTAGGAAAAAGTACTTGTGGTCAACTGTGCCGTTCATCAAAAATAAAATTAGAATTGTTAGAACTGCTGATAACAAAATTTTTGATAGATGGCCTTGGTTTGTCGGGACCACTAATGTGGAAAAAAAATATTAATATTAAAGCCATTATACTCACAAGTTGGTGAAGTCAAGTTTTCTGTTTTTCGAATTGGGTCGTAAATTAGATTTGCCCGACCTGACTCATCCGGACAATTGTAATTAAACTGGTATTAACAAAAGTGGGTATAAATTGGCATTTTTTTTTGCTGGTATGTAAAAACGGGTATGGTGTGAAATTTCAGGGTATTTTTTTGAACATTTACAATTTATAACTGGGATGATATAAATGGGGTAAAATTAGTTGTTGATCATATTGTTTGTACCACATTTTGTATTGGAAATTATGAATTATGACAAAAAAATTCAAAAGAAAAGCTTCTTTGACATCCATCTGTTAGAGAGGTTGTAAATGTGGTAATTTGATCCAGACTTTTTGGAAAGACATTTCAAAATCTAGCGCTTGCAAACTTAGAATTAATGCAACACAAGTAACTAATTTTTTTGACAAAAAAACCTCTAATGTCAGAAGAAAATTATGTCATGGTTTAAACAATGAAAGAACAAAAATTTATTTTAGACATGTAGCAGGAATAACATCATATGGAGGTGCACCACCAGTTGAAGATGTTACAAAAGAATTATTTCCCAAAAAAATTAGAATAAATTGAATGAAATAGAAAGAAGGAAATTGTTAGATGAATTAAAAAGTAGAGCAAATTGGATAAATGATAGTATTGATTTTTGTGTTTGAAGTATTTCCTGCACAACATATCTTGACACTGATCATACTAGAAACATTCATCATTTTTGTAAGGAATTGCAAAAAATAGATTACTTCATGTTAGCATTTATTACTTTAATTATTTAATAACCATTTTTTTTTGTTCAGAATGCAATATATTAAGAAGAATCTTTCTAGTATTCCATGCTGCAATCCAAAAAAGGAGACAAAATGGTTGTAAAGGCGGTTGCAACCAGTGATTGCAATCATTTTTATATGATACAAAGATGGTAGCAACCATCATCAAAAGTTGCAGCCAGTATCCTTAAATCTTTCCAAAGGGAAGAAGAAATTATGGTTGAAGTTGCCCAATTAATGGGAAGTTTTTAAATATTAGAGATAATAATGATGAAGATTTAAATCTGAGTCTACAAGTTAATTTATTGAATAATTTAAATAATAAATCAATTGTAAATTTAAAATTTTCTACCTTAGATTATGACAATTTATGTGCTTCACTACACAACCAGAGCACTCCATCAGATTTATATTTCAAAATATCCTTTATAGTAGACATCAAAACATCTCAAATAGATTGGATTTATCAAATATTCTTATTAATCAATCACTAGCCATCATGTTTCATATTTAACAAATAATTCAGATACATACAATCAACCAAATCAAGTCTTCAACACTGGGGAATTTGTCAAAAATTTCAGCAGATAAATTCACTTTTACCAAATAATAGTAAGTTGATATTTTATTTATTGCTTTTAAAATTTTTTAAATATATATTAATTAACTACAAAATTATTCTGCATATTTACACAGCAAATATATCTCCAATACATCCTGCACAAAAAAATAATTTCATATGCATTGATAGATTCAAAATTTATTTGGTAAGATTCTGGGATTTTTTCCTCAAATTCATCTGGTAGCTTTCATTCTTATATAAAACAGCTTATTACAAATATAGATATAATTAGTTATTTATCTAGTATTGTATTTTTGCAATTAAAAGGAAATTTGTTTACAAGCCAGTGCGAGGAAAGAAAATTTTTATTTAGCCATTTATCATCAAAACAAATATTACATTATGTGGGGAATCAAGTTAGTCATTACCATAACATGATTACTAAGGCTCCGAATGAATCGAATTGAATCGAATTTGAGAGTGATTCAATTCGATTTGATTCGTTCTGTAGTCAATTCGATTCGATTCGTTCTGTAGTCAATTCGAATTGATTCGAATCAAACCGGATTCCTAAAAAATTTTTAACGTCATATTAATATTAAATTTATATTACACAGTGAATCGCAATTAGTGTGCCTCCATTTAATGAATACTAATGAGTCGAGGTCTAAGAATGGTTTAATGATAATAAAATTCTTCTTGATAATAACGGATTTCTTTAATATTAATGGTCGTGTGACCTATATTATTAATAATGAGTAAAAAAGTAACGATTTACAGTTGTACAATTCATTA